AAGGGGTACAATCGTAGATAAAATATGTTAAAAGTCAAAATTTATTACATTTCTAAACGGTTCTATAAACTCTAAAGGATACTATAAAAAAAAGGTATACTTGTCGAAATTCAGTAGCATGTACGATTTTCGAGAAAAATGAAGTTGCATTTTTTTTTGCTCACATAAAGCGGCATAAGTACATTAACAAAATATTAAATGGAAAGAGGACCTTACCATTGAATGAGCTGAAGACATTTAACTACCAACAGTATTTGCATTTAAGACTATAATTTTAATTTCTTACATAGCACATGAAATAGTTAAATTGTAAAACATTTTATTATTAAAAAAAAAATTAAAAATTTATTTTAAGTTTCAGTTTGTTGTAAACTAACATTTAAAAAAGTAAATCAAAACAGATTGTGGTAATTAATTAAATAATTGTGCAAACTCGAAATACTACAGTAGATACTGACATTGTCCCCCATTTCCTTCTATACAACTTCATTTTTCACGAAAATGGTACATGCTACCGAATTTCGACAAGTAAGTATACCTTTTTTTTGTAGTATGCTTTANATTGGCGACACTGCTTTTCAGAAAGAAACCGTTTGCACATTATTCTTAACGCACAGTTGATGTTTACTCGTGTATAAATTTTGACATTTTTATCTTTAGCCGATTTAAAAATAATTAAGGAAAACCATTTGGAAAGTAACAACTTCAACACACTGTATCTCGAAAACAGGGCGTCTAAGAAAAAACTTTACATTAACTACCCCAATTATTTTTCCATGAGGCACTTGCACACAAGTTTTTTTGAAATATGAACGGGACACCCTGTATATACAGGGTGTTTCAGGATTAAGTCGACAAACTTTAAGGAGATATTCCTCATAAAAAAATAAGAAAAAAATCAAGCATAATTTTTTTTCCAGAGACGCTTCATTTTCGAAATATAGGGCGTTAAAGATTTTTAAAAATATTAGAATTTTTTAAATAACTTCTAAATGAAGAAGTCTATTTAAGCCAGATTTGGCATGACGCATCTTTTTATAAGATACCATTTTTCCATAGAAGCAGAAGTCCCGCAAGCAACCAGTAACGGAGTTATGGGGACTCAGACTCATTAAATTATAAAAAAAATTAATACGGCCCTACTGAAAATAAAAAATGATGCTGTTTTTAGATAGAACAGTTTGTTATTGACAAAAAGTGTGCTTTCACTTTTTTTTCTAACTCTTATAGTTTCATGGCAAAATTGTTTTTCGGAAGGGTGATTCTGGATTCTGTCGATAAACTTTAAAATAAACCTCAACAAAAATTTTCGAGTAGGCTGCTGTCAAGCAATGTTAATTTGACGTTTTAAATGTTATTTTGCGAATTGTTGCATAAATTATCCATTAGAAAAAGCGTTAAAACTAATAATAAAAATTAGTTTAATAATGCCGTCCATATTTTCGAATAATGAATATGCTGATATGGTCTTTGTATATTGTTTTTGTGATGGAAATGCCACGGCGGCTCGTCGTGAATATGCAATAAGATTTCCTCATCGCAGACTACCAGTAAAGAAAACATTTTCAACTACATTCAGTCGCCTCAGACAAACTGGGTCTTTCTGTACCTATTCCAACTTATGCTGATGGACATTTTGCCCCACTTCAGGACGAAGTAAGATCGAATACTATTTTAAACCATTTCGATGAAAATCCATCCACGCGTGTCAGAAGATCTAGCTATGAGCTAGGTATTTCGTCAAGTTCCATTTGGAGGACTCTTCGGGCTGATGTACTGCTGATGACTCTTTCAGCATGAATTCCAATGTAACGTATGGTTGGGTGTGTTGGACAACACTATAGTTCGTCCCTACTTCCTTCCGCATCGGTTAAATGCTGACATGTTTATCGAGTTCCTTGAAAATGGTTTTCAAGATCTGTTAGATGTTCCGCTTAATACTCGAATGAACAGTTGGTTTCAACTAGATGGTTGTCCTGCCCATTTTGGTAGAGGTCCTAGGGAGTGGTAAAACATTAATTATCCCAGGAGATTGTTTGGTCGTGGAGGACCTGCAGCGTGGCCCGCACAATCACCGGACTTGACACCGATGGATTATTTCGTTTGGGGTGCTGTTAAACAAACAGTCTACGAGGTGCCAGTTGATACCCTAAGACATAGAATAGTCCAAGCGTGTCGAGAATTAACTCCAATTCAGTGTCGATCGGCCACTACCTCCATAGTTAGAAGATGTCGTGCTTGTATACAGTCCGGAGGCGCCCATATTGAACAAAATATTTTTAATTCACTTTTCGCTTTGTCGAGGTATGAATGGTATAATATTAATTGGTATTTTTTTGGTTGTTTCAATTTACAAATAAATTTTCATGTATTGTTTGCCATCTTATTTTATTTACACACACAAGTAAATGAACTGACTACAAACCGCCTGAAACAATTTAGGAGTATTGCAAGGATCGTTACGTTGTCGCATTACGACATAGTCACATTAGATGTTAGGTACTTAAAATATTTCTATTGTTTTCATCAACATCATTTTTTTTTCTTATTAAAACACCCTATATCTCAAAAACGAAGCATCTCCTAAATAATTTTAATACTATTGGTTAAACCCAAGGGAAGGGGAGACGAAAAGGCTTATCTGACTCACACATACTCGAGACTACGATTAATTTTAATAGGTAATATTTTCTTAGGTTTTATGAGGAACGTCTTCCTAAAGTTTGTCGACAGAATCCAGAAGCACCCTTCCGAAAAATCAATTTTGCCATGAAACTACATATAAGAGTTAGGAAAAAAAGTGAATGTACACTTTTTGTCAATAACAAACTGTTCTATCTAAAAACAGCATCATTTTTTATTTTCAGTAGGGCCGTATTAATTTTTTTTATAATTTAATGAGTCCGAGTCCACATAACTCCGCCACTGGTTGCTTGCGGGACTTCTACTTCTATGGAAAAATGGTATCTTATAAGAAGATGTGTCATGCTAAATTTGGCTTAAATAGCCTTCTTCATTTAGAAGTTATTTAAAAAATTCGAATTTTTTTAAATATTTCGAAGATGAAGCATCTCTGGAAAAAAGTTTATACTTGATTTGATTTTTTTTCTTATTTTTTTATGAGGAATTTCTCCTTAAAGTTTGTCGACTTAATCCTGAAACACCCTGTATAAAGAACTATATTGATTCTTGGCTATTTGCACAATAAGAGGAATTGCCTGCCAACAAGAAGAGATGGATATACAGTATAATATATAATATATAATAATGTATAATACCAATGTATACAAATTTGTATAAGTCTGTCTCTTGGTTCAGTAAGCCTCAATTGCGCTAGCGCGAAATCAAGACGCCTCATCAACTGCAAAGATACGACGCTTGCGCAGACGCCTAATGAACTGCAAAAATACGACGCTTGCGCAATTGTAACTTGCTCATATGCGAGATTTGTATACATCTGTTTCATAATGTTGGCAGGAGATTTTTCTCATAAGACGCGATATAGATTTCTATATATATATGCCCGTACCCCTTGTAGGTGGGGAGAGTGGTAACTTTGAAATCTTAAATAGGAACCCCCATTATTTATTACAGATTCGAATTCTGCAGCTAAAAGTACGAAATTAAATTTTTCTCCATTTCTCCTACTAAGAACCATATGTTTTGTGTGAGAACTTATGTATAAGTTCTTTTCATACTTATAGTAGATATAAAAAATGTCAAAGCCTGCCGGTAAATGTGATAGGGGGAAAGCAGGGCAACACAATTTTTAAATGTCCGTAGAAAATAAATGTTACAACAGGCTAACAGCTAATTTATTTCACATATCATAATGCTCTTATCAGGTATACTCATCTAGATAAATTGAATACAAAATTAATGAGAAATAGAATGATATTAATCAATAATTATTACATATCTACTTGTCAGGTATTCAATTTAAAGGTTGCTCCGCTTTACCCTAGGTGGGCGGGATCCTGTGTTACCGATATGTAAAAATATTCCCTAAATGAATAATTGCTAAATCGAATGAAATTAATTTATTCAAATACTTACGGTTAAAATATTAAGTTATGTTCGGAAAATGTAAGAATATGCCGAATTTGCATACATTTATTTAAAAAATAATTGTATTATCCACTTCAATCTTGAAGTGTATATTGTCCATTTTTAGTATAATACTAACTCGCCGAAACATTTGGCAACACAGCTGGCAAGAAAACAGATTCTCTAAGACGTACATTGTTCTCAAATTCCTAATGTGAGACAGAGACAATCAACAATTAGATACGGTGAACTTATTACTTTAAATTTCTGATAGCTCAGTTCATAGAAAAATGATTATATATAAATATCCTTTTTCTATGGCGCAGTTTGCGTGGTACAGGACAGGAGTTGGTGCTGCAATGATGCGATTATTTTTTCTTAGAGTAGTTTTGAGTAGTGAGATTTTTGTTTTATTACAAGTTTTTTATAGAGTAACTTTTGTAATTCACTGCAATTATTTTCAGTTTATACATAGTAGTAGTGTCACTAGTGTCTATTGTGAATTGTTTGGAGTCTTAAATATTATATAGTCTGTATACTTTGCCTAAATATAACCCTGTTCTGCTAAGCAGACAAGTATTTACGAACGACCCCGTTTTGTCGTCATCGGCAATATAATAGAGTCTTTTATTTCTACCACATATCTATTCTACAATACTTATAAGTATATGAAAACAACTTATACTTACTATAGGATTCTGCTACGTGTTTGCAATTAAAAAATCCACGTTCTACTTGAATATTAACTTATTTAATATTTAAAAAAATAAATCAATTTTTAATAGGAAAACTAAAATGAAAAATATATACCTACCTACATATTTTATAGAAATAAAAATATATTTTTGTTCCAGCTCTAAACACCTCTTTATAACTACTATTTTAATATTACAAAAAGGCTATCAGTATACCTACCTAGTCCATTATTGCTAAGTTCATTATTATCTACCATAAATATTTAGTGGGGAATGACATTAATCAGTTGTGCGTGAAATGAACATGTTTAATTATGATATAGGTTCTTTATTGGGACAGAAAAATAAATTCGTTTCATCGTTTCGTAGTAAGCCAGTAAGCTTTGAGATTCAAAGGAGTAAACATGTTGAATAACACTTGTAGAGTTTTTCTTAAAGTAGGGTCTGATCTCCAGAGTAAGTACGTAATTTAAGAGTTAAGAAGGATCCCAGAGATAAGCTAGGTTCTAATTTATTTGAATTATTAAAAATAAGAGGGCAGGATATTAACAAAATACCTAAAATATTTTGCAATATTTTTAATAAATGTAATAAAAATACATATATAGATACTAATCCATTATTCAAACAATGTCATAACAGTAACAGTATACTACTATTTTTGGAAAAAAAAGATAAACGTGTGAACTATGTATTTCAAGGTCGTCGCTCACAACTTTTTTCAAGTACCTATTTTTCCATTGCTATTTTTTTTAATTATAATAAATTTAAAAATTAAAAACCTGTGTGGTGTACCTATGTTTTGCTTTATATTTTAAATCCATTTCTATTTACTCAAAAAAGTTATTATTATTCTTATTCTCTTTTCTAGAAAGACATGGTAGTAACATCGCTTTCATTGGTCTGGGCAACATGGGTTCGAGGATGGCCAGAAACCTGATCAAGAAGGGTTGTAGTCTTAAAATCTATGATATGGTTCCATCAGCTAAGGCAGCAATACAAGGGGCCACACCCTGCCAATCTGCAGAAGAAGCTGTAAAAGAGTCCTCTATTGTAATTACGATGCTTCCTAATGGACCGATTGTCAAAGAAACCATTTTAGGTAAGGAAAAAAATTTACATTAACTGAAACCAACTTTTACTAATTTTTACCAGAAATTTTATTAAAATGTATTGAAAACTTGCAAAATTAATTCATCAGTGGGTGTTTTAAACTATTTACTTTATGTTTACATTTAGGAGAAAAAGGCATCCTGGACAGTGTCTCCAAAAACTCCTTAATCATAGACTGTTCCACTGTGGAGCCATCGGTCGAACAAGAGCTATCCAAAATCGTGGGAGAACGTGGCATAAGATATTTGGATGCTCCTGTATCAGGAGGAATAGTTGGGGCAGAAGCAGCAACGTTGACATTCATGGTAGGAGGCGAAAAAAAGGATGTAGATGAAGTAGAACCTATTCTATTGCACATGGGGGCTAAAGTGCACCATTGTGGGAAATCTGGTGCTGGGCAGATTGCAAAGATTTGCAATAATCTTATTTTAGGTACCTAATCCGTCTTAATATAATTACTGTATTTGTGACAATATACATTCATTTAGATTAGCTCAAGAACTTGTATAACTATTTCGCAGATTTCAAGCAAAATATTTGATAAATATTTTACATTCATGGTTTTAAAAACACATATATCGTTTGTGATATTACATAACTTTTCATTATCTGTTTGTACTATTTGACATACACAATAAAGGTCAGTCACTCAACATTATGTTCAAAATTCTCAGAAATCAATCAAATAAATTTTAAATTATAATTAAAATCATAAATGGAATGAAAAATTATGTGAATTTCTTAGAAAAAGAATCAACTACATTAAATTAAGACAATGTTTCTTAAAATGATACCTAAGGCTCTATGATCCTTGAAAGACTGAACCTAAAAGAAAAGGTTATTGATGTCAAATAGAATTCTCTTACAAATTAAGGAAAATAATTGGCTTTTTAATATTTCTAGCTCGTTGCTGATAAGTGTGTTCATGATTTTTGAACTTTTGCTCATAAACGCTGCATCCTATGAAAAAGACACAAATGTTTTGATTCGGATGACCCATCAGAAAACAGATTCTCTTTAATGTCATATAACTTTTTGTTAGTTGAAACCCCTTATACCTCTACTATTTCTGATGCCATTGATTAGTTTCTGTTTAAATTACAAATGAAGATAGAAGGAACTGTATTGTAAATGAAGCTGATATCTTCAATAGTTCTTGAGTAGTTGATAAAAAACTGTGTGATATTTCAAAATCATAGAACCTTAGGAATTATATAAAAAACTAATGGTACTATTGTTTTGTTTGTTTGTTTCAATGAGAGAAATCAGCCCTGAAACTTATTTACGTCACTGTTATACTTTTATTAGCAAAATAAAATTAACAATTTTTTTAGGTATAACAATGATAGGAACAGCAGAAGCTTTGAATTTAGGAGTGAAACTGGGATTAGATCCCAAATTACTGACTTCCATAGTCAACATTTCTTCAGGAAGATCATGGTCATCCGATACTTACAACCCAGTTCCTCACGTTATACCAAATGTTCCTTCTTGTAATGACTACAAAGGAGGGTTTAGTGTTCCCCTCATAGCGAAAGATTTAAGTCTAGCTCAGAGCTCAGCTCTGCAATGCGGGGCTCCACTTCCTCTTGGCGCTCTTGCCCATCAGATATACAGAACGATGATCACAAATGGATATGAGGAAAAGGACTTTTCTTCAGTGTATATGTTTTTAAAAGGTGCTAAATAAAATTGTTTTTAATTATTTTCACTATTTTACTACTATCCTAGTACAGGTACTTGAAACTATTTTTACAGGAATACATAGGTATAGTAGAAAGAAGTTTTATTTTATCAACCGGTTTATGTATTATCAACGATATTTATTATGCTCGTATGCCCTCTAAAGCTGCTTAACTTGAGCTCTCTTAAATAGTAAAGCCGGCTTAAATATATTTTCGTATGCACCGCCTAAAATGTAAGCCAGTTTACTCAAGTCGAATATACGTTTGAAGTCAAAGCAACATTTGTAACCTAACTTATTCACGATTTGTATTTTTTATTATTTTATTATACCACAATATGCAAAATAAATATATGCTAAGTGACAAAACGAAAGAATATTTTAGACGATGGTCTTTTGTAATAGTTATAAGGCTAAAACAGGTAAGTAAAAAGATGGAAATAAATTTGAGTAGACTTTACTGAATTTTCGGTATCCTAGAATATTGCTAATTTGTTTTGAACCTTGTGACTGAGTGTTTTCGTGAACTATATTTACATAAAGTTTCGTTATAATATAGTTGTATACTTATACTAGAAAACAAGAAGAGATCTCACAATTTCACCAATTCTAAAAAGTCATTCTTGTTTCGTCTAATTGCAGAAAAATATGGTAGTATTTTGGAGGATAAAAAAACAGACAGGGCGTCACTCCAAAAGCGGGACTTTGCTTGGAAATACTTCGAAAGTTAATTCAATGCCGTCAACCATCAAATATATTTCGATGTGCAGATACATTGAAAAAATTGTACTCCAACAAAAAGAAAGATATTAGAAAGAAGATTGCTGAAGAAAGAAAGGACGTGTGACCAACAACTGGTATGAAAACTCTTACTTCATCACGCTGAAAAATATAATATTCTTTTGGATCGTCGACTTGTTTTAGTGGAGCAACAAATTGAACAGGGAAGAAACATTTACTGAATGTAAAACAAAGGAAACTCGAAAATTGAATTATCGGAAGAGTTAAAAGCCAAAAGAAGTAATTAGAATCAATATTTTAAAATCAAAAGTTAATAAATATTATTGTACTTTTTTATTTTTCTCATTTTTATAAATTTGCAAAAAAATTTGCTATTAAATTTCTTCTATTGTCTTGATTGGCCCCATTTTAATTCACCATATTTTCTGGTCCTGGTTGAATATCACCTTGCCCAATCAAATAATTTAGCTCATCAAAATTAATGTGTTCTGGTGGAGGTGGCTCTCCTTCATTTTGCCTTTGAGCAATGTTATGCAACACAGCAGTAGCAATAATCGTTGTCAGAACTGTTATTCCTAAAAGAAAATAAAATAAATAATGAAAAAATTTAGGAACATAAAGATTTTATTAAAAATCACAGTCTATGTATCTATCTACTTATGTGAACTGACGAACAAAAATAATGTATAATTAAAGTGGTATACTTACAAATTGTTGATATTATTTTTAATATTTTGAATGCTGTTTTATATTAAGCTAAAAAACAAACTACACAAATCATTGTTAAACTCAAGATTATGTTCAATCTGTTCTAACACATGTAAAACAGTTCTTTTTTGTAGCCTGAATCTTCTAAAAAATGATAGGTCATCCATATTTTCAAAATGATTTTGTCAAATCTACGTGGAAAACCATAATCTATAATATCCAAGATATCCAAATCATCTTCAACAAACATCTCATCTTCAATCTCCATAGTACAAATTTAATTATGATCTTTATATAGAATAAAAATAACGCACAATAATCTGTCGTAGCAAAACAAAAATTGTTTTGAAGGCTTAATCCGACAAAATAGAACGGTGCATACGAAAACGTGAAGTTAAGCTGTCTTAACTCTTAAGCCGACTTAAAATTATACGGTGCATACGGGCATTAGTGTTTAATTTTTCGTTGGTCTGACAGTTACTGAGTATAGGCAACGCATTGTACGGCTTTTTGTATTGTATGTTGCATAAATAGTATAATTATAAAACTATAATTATTAAATGTCGGAATGTATCTACGTGAGTAATCTTAAATTATCCCATGATTTGACAAAATTCGTTTATTTAAAGTCGATTCCAGATAATACGAACATTTGCCAAAGATTTTGCAATAGCAGTAATACAGTGCTTTCGAAAAGTAACGAATAAATTCATTATTTTTTAAATTGAGAAGTTTTCGAAAAAATCCCCTGGCACGTCGATTTTGTTTTTAAAAAAGACACTTTTTGACATATGACCCATATTTGCGACGTCATCGTTGTTCGAGATATGATGTCATCGACAATTTTTTTAAATGGCAATCCCCAATTTTGACCATGCCATTTGAAAGAGCGTGTCATTCTACATACACAGATCATGAAAAATTATGGTGTTACATAACAAAAATTTCAAGAAAATAATGTTTGAAGATTTTAAAATTTAATTTTCACAATACTGAAAATGATGATTATGTAAAAATCGACTAAATTAAATGTTCAAATTGTGCTAACTTCAGGAGGTATCTCGTGACGAATTCTTGCTTTTAAATCTTTAAAATTAACCGGTCTAGTAACGTATACTTTGCTTGACAGGTGTTGCATAATGGGGAGGTGCAGCATTTAGTCGATTTTTACATAATCATTATCATTTTCAGTAGTGAAAATTAAATTTTAAAATCTTCAAACATTATTTTCTTGAAATTTTTGTTATGTAACACCATAATTTTTTATGATCTGTGTATGTAGAATGACACGCTCTTTCAAATGGCATGGTCAAAATTGGGGGTTGCTATTTAAAAAAATTGTCGATGACATCATATCTCCAACAACGATGACGTCACAAATATGGGTCGTATGTCAAAAAGTGCCTATTTTAAAAACAAAATCGACGTGCCAGGGGATTTTTTCGAAAACTTCTCAATTTAAAAAATAATGAATTTATTCGTTACTTTTCGAAAGCACTGTATATGTATATGTACAAGTATGGTTGATAATTGAATGCGAACGTGTGCGTATACAGGGGATTTATTAACAATGGGATAATCGAAAGCTGAAGATACACGTGAACTGGTGACCATTGGCGATTATTCTGAAAATATATAGGTTAGGAACTTGAAAATTTGTGAAACTATATTTTTTTGGGCGACGAATAAGATGCGTGTTGTAATTTCAGCATTGCTCGTAGAGGGCGCCACTTACGACCAATTTTACCGAAAATTTAGTTAAAACTTTTTACCCTGTATGTCTAACATGAAACTTGATTCAAACAACAACAATTAACAATAAAACAAATGAAATTCGTAATAATGATTTAAAGTCAGTGTGCGAAGAAACACTTGGTTTGTTTGGCTTTTAATTTCTCATATTACCAAAACAGTTACACTGTTTTGGTTAAATCGATTTTTCTCGAAAACGGATCGAGATACCGAAATGAAACAAGAGTACATACTTAATGGAAAAATGTTTGCTCTTTCAGGTTTTGAATCAAGTTTCATGTTAAAAATACAGGGTAAAAAGTTATTAACTAAATTTTCGTTAAAATTGGTCGTCAGTGGCGCCCTCTATGAGCAATGCTATTACAACACGCATCTTATTCGTCGCCTAAAAAAATATAGTTTCACAAATTTTCAAGTTCCTAACCTACATATTTTCAGAATAATCGCAAAAAAAAAACGATTTAAAATTTTAACTTTCAAAACCCTTTATTTCCGAAACTATTAACTTTCGGATAAGGCATGTTTGCGCCAATGGTCACCATTTCACGTGTAGTATCTTCAGCTTTCGACTTTCCCATTATTAATGAATCACCCTGCATGTATATTTGTCAAAGTCTATGGTCAAACCTAAACACAATAAATGCTGTATCGGTAGATACATGTATATTGATATATTCGAAAACATACCTTTACTTGCCAAATATAATTCAAAAACAAACGGTACACTGTTTGAAACTTTCAGAAACTACCTAATAATAGAATATTTCATCACTATCAAATGAATATGAACATATGATACTTCGTTTATAAACTTAATGCTATTATGTAGGTACGCGTTTTTGCTAGCGTACATTTAAGGTGGGTATTTCTGTTATGTAGGAAGGCCTTAAAGCTGCTAAGTAAAACTCTCTGTATGAATGTTATCATTTCAACAAATTGTAGTTATTAATTCCTTAAAAGCTATCTATTTTTCGCAACAAACCAAAAAATATTTTAAATGATATCTACTTGTCTACGAAATAATTACCTATATAGTTAGGTACTTCAAATAAATACTTTTATGTTAAATGAAATAAGGCAATTAAGCGAAGCACTTTACATTATATTTTTAGATTATTTAACTCACCGCAGCACGACGAGATTAATTAACTTTAAATAGCTATTACGTTAATTCAATTTCTCTTTTTAATTAGTTTAAATTCTTACAAGGCACGTAGTTTCAAATGTGGCGCTGTCTAAATATGACCAGACGCCGCACGCCGCACGCTTCGGCTTCGTACCATCTTCATCTTTGTATAGAATAGAAATGAGTGAAATGACAGCTAGTGAATTGTCGGCGACAAGTTATTCAAGAAATTTTCAGTTTTTTTCAATTAAAATAATTTGAAGTACACTAATTCAACCATAAACATATCAGTATCCCGTATATTGAGGTGAAAGAATGTTCTGTTGTAAATTCGTAATTTGTATATGTATTCATTCAGGGCGAAGTTTTTAAGTCTACGTTTGTAAACTAATTTTTAGGTTAGAATAAGGAAGTTGGATGTATTTTTTCCTGATGTTTTTAGTTCTATGAAACCTGTTATACACCCTGATTTTTAAATTTTACCTTTCCACGTAACGCTGTCGAAAAATGGGAATCATTATAGGAAAATTCAGGGTAAACTTGTTTAATTTTTCAATTCTAGTTTTCACATTTTCTGTTACAGAAGAAGAAAAGTACTTATGACATACTAGAGAAGCTAGAACAAGAAATTGTCTCCATAGAGGAGTTTGGTAGAAGTACTGAACAAACCAGAAAAAAAATCATAGGTCGGTTTGTTCTGTTAGCCATTTTAGTGTATGTTATACTAGCTTTTGCTCTGTATATATATTATCAGAGGATATCTACTAACCAGAGACTAATATGTGTGATACCTTTAATTGCGTTTCCTCTCATGTAAGTAGAATTATTTAATATAAAGAAATATATCAAATTTTCCACATTGTAGAATATGGGTTATAAAACGGTTCTTAACTTGGTACTACAGTAGGAAGATAAAGAAAAATGAAAAAAAGTTAGTAAGCCTGAAAGATGAAAAGAAAAAAATTTTGGATAATGTGATGGAAACTGAGACATATAAAGTTGCTAAAAAAATTTTAGACAAATTTGGAAACGATATGTGTGTGTCAACTCCAGTGATGAACAAGCCAACTGCAATTGTTCCAAGTACTGCCAGGCCATTTCAGACAGGTATTTATGAGTCGATTTAAATTGGATTTGTCGTGTTTGTAAATGCTTTATTGTATTCAAATTCTGCTATGCTTAATGTAATTTATTATTTCCCTTTGTTTAAATACAATATACTGCTGGCCTTATCCTTAATTAAAATTTTTAAAACTGTTGTGGCCGCTGTGAAAGTTAATTATTGATGCTTGTAACCCACTTTTTACTCCACATATTTACATTTCCATTTCTGTGTTATACTAGAATTATAACATTTTTATATATCGATAGATAAACATAACGTTACATAATTATTATGTTGGGCAATTAATTAGAAGTATTTTTTGTTTTATTAAAATTTACCGAAAAAAGTAAATAGGTACCTATACAATTATATATACAATTTTATTTTTGTTTACAATGTAAACATTTTCCCGCAGATTCAAGAATAAACGTGTTAATTTTTCTCATTTTACAAGGCAACAAATTTATTTAAGCCTACAATCCAATGTGATCTATAATTACAGTGTTATAAATAGATAACCATAACCCTGCATAACAAATTCAATGTGAGATTTAATTAGAACTGAAAATTTGAAGTGTTTCAAGCGGTTGTTTTTTAAATTTGAATTATTTCAAATACGAGGTGTGATAAAAAAATAACAAGAATGAATTAATTTTCTCAGGAAGTATTTATTTAATCTTCAATTTGTAAGAGGTCGTGATGAACTACTCCATTGTAGTCAAAGAAAATGATTAGAAGGACCCTCACATTTACCCAGATCTCGTCTCATCCTCGATTTCTTCTTGACCTTCCTGGAAACATTTGTACCATTGATAAACTCCTGGCTGTGACATAGTAGTATTATCTCTAAAGGCCTTCTTTAACATCTTGTATGCTTCGCTGCACTTAATTCAGTTTTGAACACAAAATATCAAACAAACTCTCTGATCTGACACCTCACCACACAAAAAATCGCCAAGAACACAGGTAAATCTTACTCATTTGCTCGCTAAACACAAACTAGGCATAATAGCTGCCTAAAAATTGACACGTACATCACTGACAATGCTACCAATACAAAAAAAAAGAATCAACTCGATAGACAAGATACAAATCGCACAATTAGAAAATTCCTGTTACTTTTTGATCAGACCTCGTATGTTTTCTAAAATTTTTTATAAGATATATTAAACACATAAATTCTGTCAAATCTTTTTTGTTCAGATTAATGTAAAATAAATGTACAAGTATGTTTAAGATTACATATAGAAAAACACATTTGTTTGATGTAAATATTTATTTATTTGAAATTAATTAAAACTGTTTTTATTGATGTATTATATTTATAAGTGTATAAAAAAATTGTGTTCAGCAAATATGAACAAATCCTGAACTAATAAAAATAAGCCACATAGGTACAATCTTTTTTCTAAAATTAAAAAGATATAGGGCATTGATGTTTGTATTTTAATTTTTACGTTTTTGAGTATTTTATTTAATTATTTTTTTTAAACATAACTTCTTGATATAAATGTGCCAGGGATTATTCAGTAAAAAAAACAGAGCACACTGAACCGTATCGATACACAAAATTTAATGGTAACTTTTTTTGTTACTTACGTCACTTGTGAGAAAATCGAGGAGAAAATTTTACATAAATTTCAAAAACTATAATATATGTGGAATGTTTTATTAAAAAAAAAATATTTGTGGTTGGAACTGAAACACTAGAAATTATAGAAATGCAAAAAACTAAAAAAAAAATTTTTTTTGGAAATCAAATATATTTATAAACTAAAAAAGGTGGCTTTTAGCATAATTATTTTTGAAAATCTAATCTACATAGTGTTTGGAAAAGTTGGTACAAAATTTAAGGGGATGAAAGTAGAGCCAAAAATAGTAAAAAAAGTTCCTATAAACCCCTCCAAAGGGGTCTTATCATTTGGATATTTTTTAAAATAACTTTCTTTCTGATTAAGATAAGGGAATGAAAATTTTAGGTAATAATTATACCATAAGGATCTTTAACTACCATAAGTTTCATCAAAATCGGTTATAAATAAGTATAGTTTTTTAACTACTCATCAGAAATTTTTCAAATTTTTTTTATTCTTTTTAATTATCAAGCAAATAATATTATTTTTTAATGAATTGGACTTTTTTAAAGAAAAAATGTATCTACTTTTTTTTCGAATTATGTGTAGTTTAGTCAGAAATAATTATTTTTTTAATAATGTATGGCTCAGAACAGTAACTCTTTTTAACATTTTCACATAGTAGGCATCTTTCATAGTGACAATTTCGTTGTAATGATTAGTGATGGGAGAGTGAAAAATCGAGTGGTACTCGATTATTGAGATCACTCGAGATATCTCGAGATGTTTACTCCCACCACTCGAGTGATTATTACCCTACGGTTGCACCCCAAAATGTTAGTGCATACTGCAAATAGTCACTGATTGCGTAACCTTTTTTTTTAGAATAAAACGAAAAAGCGGTTAGGTTTTGAAGTGCGTGAGCTTTTTTTTTTTTAGCTACGCTTATAAGTAATATATGACTAATACAAACATATTTGTGCGCCGCTGGGATGAAAACAACCAATATCTCGTATCTCGAGTGATCACTCGATTATTAGAAGTACTCGATTACCGATAACTCGATTTTCAAAATTGGTCGATTATGCCCATCACTAGTAATGATACTAATGATTGTCACTTTTGCGTGCTATGATTTAAATTCTTATGTTTCTTTATTTTCTTAGTTGTGATCTTTGTGCTCAACCATGAACCATCATGCTTTTACTAACCGTGAATATACCGATTTACATTTTATTTATGGTTTCTGTAATGGAAATAGTCTGGCAGCTCAAAAAGAGTATCGGCATATTCACAGTTAGTAAAAGCACGATGGTTCTTGGTTGTAAAAAAACTGAATGAAATGTGAAGTTGAGCACAAAGATCACAATAATTAAGAAAATAAAGAAACATAAGAACTTAAATCATAGCATGTGAAAGTGACAATCATTAGTATCATTACAATGAAACTGTTACTATGAAAGATGCCCACTATGTGAAAATGTTAAAAAAAGTTACTGTTCTGAGCCATACATTATTTAAAAAAATAATTATTTCTGACTAAACTACACAGAATTCGAAAAAAAAGTAGATACATTTTTTCTTCAAAAAAGTCCAATTCATTAAAAAATAATATTATTTGCTTGATAATTAAAAAGAATAAAAAAATTTTGAAAAATTTCTGTTAATTGTAGTTACAAAACTATCCTTATTTATAACCAATTTTGATGAAACTTATGGTAGTTAAAGACCCTTATGGTATGATTATTATGTACAATTTTCATTCCGTTATCTTAATCAGAAAGTTATTTTAAAAAATATCCAAATGATAAGACCCCTTTGGAGGACCATATCTCGGTAACAGTGCTCCGGAGGACCAATGTATATAGGAACTTTTTTTACTATTTTTGGTTCTACCTTCACCCCCTTAAATTTTGTACCAACTTTTCCAAACACTCTGTATATATACAAGGTGGTCCTTAAGTAATGGGGAAGTTTCACATTTTTTTTTCCTTATTAAATTCCTTTCATCGTAAAAAGTCAATTGCCACATAAATTTTAAATTTTTAATTAATAGTTTTCCTATAAAAAAATATAGAAATTCAAAATAATCCCCTAGGCACTAAAACGCAGTCTAAACAAAGACGGCTGGCTCTTACGTCACGATCTGGTATCGAGTCTCGATCTCTGTAGTTTGTGTAGTTTTGTGTTCTGTAGTCTGTCACTCAATTGTATTGTGCAATCTACGTGTGCCGGATAGTTCTTATATTATTTACTTTTACTTAACACAGTATTGTTAATTATTTTAAAAACTGTACAGTCTGTAGTATGGCTACAGAAGCTGGATTTGTCCAAGGGCAATCTGATAATTTGCCAAAAATTGATGTTCTATCAATGTTTGCATTTTTGGGAAACGACCCAAATTTCATTGTAGGAGGTTGCAAGCATGCAATAGCTTTATTAACTTGGATGCACAGACGTAGTGAAGAACCACCAAAAACCTCGAATGAGTGCTATTGGAAAAAGTCTGCACTTTCTAATATTGGCACAAATTTGAAACTAATGAAAGTTGAAGATTTGGGTAAAACGAATTCACTGAAAACTACAAACGATACCAGTTTTGACAGTCATTTGTGAACCATAGTTTAGATTTGGGAACCACAGATACTGTGCTAATGAAATATTTCAAGGAAGAGAGCGACTTTGAAAAATTGTCCCTACACAGATTGTTAGAGGAATATTTAGTGGAATCGGAGGACATAACAGCAGATGGTTTTTCTACATTTTGTACAGGAAAAATGACTGAAGATATTTGCAGAGATGTTGCCAGGACAACGGTAGATCAAGTGGGGAGTGCTTTATGGCATGAGTTACGTTACTTAAGAATTACTGCTTCAAAGACTTATGATGTAGCTCATTGCAAAACTACAAGCGGATCATTGGTCGAGTCAGTTTTGGGGGCATCAAAATTAAAGGACACTGCTGCCATGGCTAGGGGAAGACAATTTGAAGCACAAGTTTTAAGATTAGTGGAGAAACAAACCGACCAGAAAATTCAACGCTGTGGATTAGTGCTTGTACCCGATCATCCATTTATTGGAGGCTTACAAGAGATATGTAACGTCAAGTCTTCATATTACAGCAAAGTACATGGCACAGGTTCAACTACAAATGTTTTGTTTAAAGAAAAAGAAATGTTTGTTTGTTGTTGCTAAAGATTTTGAATATTCAAAGCAAATTACGATTATAAATGTTGACTTTAATAAACTTTATGTTTTAGATTTATTAGAAAAATGTAATAATTTTTGGAAAAATTATATTTTTGATATTGTTAAAAATAATTTCAATTAAAAATAAAATTACAATATTTATTTGTCTTTCGGTATTTTATTGCAGTGTAATACAGTTATCAATGCACATGACATTTGAGTTCAATAAAAAATTTTGCC